CTTTCTTTTACAACAACAAAACATCAGTTATCCTGCCAGAGTTTCCCCATAAAATAATACCATAGTCTAACAAAGAATGAAACAAAGCATAATAAACAGACAATAAATAAGTAACAGGAACGTAAAATTTTAAAGTTTTTAACAAATATACAACTTTTGACAATTTACTGCAAACTAAATCTATTTGGCTATTCCAAGTTAAGTTACAATCCATTTGCACCCCTAGTAACTTAATGCACTTAACAAATTCATCTGAATAAGCAAGTCTACTATTTAAGGAGTATATTGCCTTTTGTGTTTTTGATTCATTAAGTTTAAAACCATTAGCTCTGAACCATGTAACAGCCTGATTAAGAGTTTCATCAGCAATACCATTCACAGTTGGCAAATCTTTACCTACTGTAAGGAAAGATGTGTCGTCAGCAAACATGATGGTTTTTGATGACTTAATAGTAGACGGCAGATCATTTACCATGACAAGGAATAAAATAGGCCCTAACACAGAACCTTGTGGTACACCAAATTTGACATGAGAAGCAGATGACTTTTTACCAGCAACATCTATAATTTGGAATCTCCCTTCCAGGTACGACTTAAAGAAATCAAGCTGAACGCCATGAAAACCCAGACACTGTAGCTTTTGACAAAGAATTAAATGGTCGACACAATCAAATGCCTTGCTCAGGTCGCAGGCAGTGATCTGAGCAAGGCTTCGATCCTCAAAACAACTGATTAAATCATCAACAATTGATAGAACTGCACTCGTAGTGCTCTTACCCATCTGATAGCTAAATTGTGAAGCACTAATTAGGCTCAGCTGATTAAAGTAGGTACATACCTGGAGTTTTACAACTTGTTCAACAACCTTGCCTAAAACTGGTACTATAGAAATCGGGCGGTAACTCTTTGGCACAGATTTTTCACCACTTTTTTTATACAGGGGGACCACTCTTGATATTTTAAGCTTAGAGGGAAAAATACCCTGTTTAAGACACAAATTAATACAAAAGGTTAGAGGAAGCAAAATGGACTCGATTACACATTTGATTAGATGATTAGAAAGATCAAAGATATCTTTACTTTTAGATTTTTTCATTTTTTTTCACGACACTGAGCACATTTGCACATGACACTTCCTCCCATTTGAAGTTTTCTTCAGGCAAAGGTGAATTTTCCATGAAGTCAAGCGCAGTAGTCTGGGGTTGAATGATGCTGTCTCTGGCCTCCTGAACAGCTGAAAGGTAGTACGAGTTAAACTCCTCTGGGGGAATCTGGATCTCTGGTGACTTGACGCTCTTGCTCCGTAGATTATTTACAAGTGTCCAAGCAGCCTTTGACTTGTTGTCAGACGATTCTATGTATTCAACATTGTAATTAAGTTTAGCTTTATTAACCGCCTCCTTGTAAACTTGCTTGCTTTTCTTATATGCCAGTTCGGTTAAGTTGCTTCGCTGAACAAGGAACATAGTTCTGAAGGCCATCATGGTATTTTTTAGATGTTCCAGCTGAGGTGTATACCAGTTCAATTTAGGCACGTTTCGGTTAATAGTAGGTTTTCTCAAAGGTTTACGAGGACACACTTCATCAAAAATACCATAAAAAACCTTAAAAAACTTATTAAAAGCGGACTCAGCTTCTTCCTCTCCATGTAGAATTTGCATCCAATCAACCATAAACAAGTGTTGTCTCAAAACATCGAGTCTTTTTTTAGATAAATTTCTTCCATAGGAAACTTTGGAGTTGGGCGTATCTGCACGTCGTTCCACGTTTAGGGTCACAGTAATACCCGAATGGTCAGAGAAAAAACAATTTACTACATCCATATTGTAATCTTGAGTTCGGTGGGTTGTTATGACATTGTCTAGACACGCATCTTCTCGAGTTGGAAGAGTGTTAATATATGTCATTCCAAATTCCTTTAACAGATTTTTAAATTTAATAACAGTAGGGCGTTCTGTTGTGACGTCAAAATGTGCATTATAGTCACCGCCAATGTAAACTTCACACTTAAAATTCGATAGACAGTTTAAAAGTACTTCTAGTTTATCCAAAAAGAGGTTAGGGTCTCCTTGAGGCGATCGATATAGGCTAACTACTATTATCTTTAAACTTAAAAGTTTGACCACCGCTACTTCAAATGTCAATTCTTCACAGAGCCAATTTAAATTTATTTCTTCGTAAGATAGGTTATCCCTGAGATACACAGCTACACCACCTTTGACATGTTCTTTCCTACAATAACTTGCAGCCAGCAAAAATCCATCAATCACCTCGTACTGTATGGCGTCATCCTTCTTCCAGTGCTCACTGAAACACATTATACTTAAATCATGTTGTTTCGTCATAAGGCTAAGAAAGTTTGATTTACCAGAAATACCTTCAACATTTAGGAACAAAGCTTTTACTATTTGTCCACTTGTATTAGCTACGTAGCTGTTAGATGTAGGCCTACTAAAAATACTCTGAAACGATTCACACTGTTCTCGTTCTACGGTCCCGAGTCTTGATGATAAGCATTCAAGTTTAAAGGCTCCTTATTTGCAGACAAGTTCCGTGGCACGAAGTTCCTAGTATTGTAGGCGTTTCTCGCTGAGTGTCTTCTTGGCATGTACTCTTTCACTAAAACTCCTGCTTCCCAAAAATTTGGATCTAGGACAGTTTCAAGCTCAGAGTCATTAACTCCAACTTTAAAGGATTTGTAAGTGTCATATCTTGTATTTAATTTGGTACAAACATGGTCCTTGATACTGTTCTCTGATAAGTAACACTCAATACTGTCTTTTGTCACACTAGCATCCAACCTAGAAACGAACACCCAAGAACGCTTGCTCACAGCCTTTAATTTAGGGGAACCACTGGTTTTAGTACCAAAAATGGGCTTAGGCCTATTGATACTTTCGACTTTACTGCTGCTACGTTGTTCTTCTCTACTATTGACGTTTCTTTTCTTCTTCGACACGAATACTTCAAAACCATCGCTTTTTTTTTAAGTGGTCTTATTAGGTTCTAGGCCTAGGCCTATATCATCCACTGGTGTAATTTCATTTGTCGATACTTGACTGCTTAAACCACACTTAAGTTTGCTAGCAAAAGAAGGCTTAGAGCCCTTGTCATAGGTTAAAAGTTCACTAATGGAATCAATAGCAGATCGCAGTTCTTCATTTTCCTTTCTCATTAAGGCTTGTTGTTCACTTAACTCTTTTTGATTTAAACTCATTGTGAAGATTTGATCCGTCAGCAGTTTTATTTGATCTTTAACAGAAAGATCTTCGTCAGTAAAAATAGTAGTTGTCTGAACCTGAACACTCTTACCTTCACGACTTTGAAGGTTATGTTGCCTACAAGTATCACACATCCAAATAGCTTTATTTCCCAGAGTTAGAAAACAGTTATATTCTTCATCATTTACACCGATACAGTCACTGTGAAACCATAAACAACATTTACCACCACACGAGAGTGCTCTATTATTTTTGGTAACATTTTTATTACAAGTACCACATTTAGTCAACTTTGTACTTCCCACCATCTTGAACCATCTACACACTATCCCCTTTAATTTGAGACATAAATCTTGTAGATCGGTCCAGTAATTACTGAGAAAACAGTGTTACAACTGTATATTAAATATATAGATGTGCGTATGGTATCTAAAGTATTTTATTTTTATTTTGAAACCTTCCTGGTAGGAGGTACAGCAAAATGTTTTTTTTATAAATCACGCCCCCCAGAATTGTTTACTTTAAACCTGAAGGTAAAAAATATGTATTCAAGACGTTTATTATAAAATACGGTTTTGTTTATTTTAATTACCTTCTTGCAATCTGTAAATATGAGTGATAAATTATCTGGTTTTTTTTTCAACTTCAAGTTTGTAGATTCATAATTGAATAATAAATTTTACACTACTGTCCCTTAAAAAAATTGTTACATCTTAGTTCATATAATTGTAAGAAAAGTAAATTTTTCTCTTAGAAATAAACAAATATTATCATACAAAATGAATTGTGAATTCACTTAAACTGTTATAAGTGTTGGACATGAAAATATATTTTTTTGATTGTAGCGTCCTCTTTAGTTGCTCTTTTTGTCTTTTAAATATTAAATATTTCATTGAAATTTTTCATTCGTTTTTTTAATTAAATAAAAATTTCCTATACAATGATTATTTTAGGGCCTGGTACAAACACATATAGTAATCACCTAATTCAAGATTAAAAGTTTAGTTAACACGGCATAAATCAGAATAGTTAAAATACCCCTGCCGACCACAGCAAACTTAGGACCTAAGCAATTTTTTATTGTATGGAATATCTTTTGGAGTAATATATATTGGATTATAGCCTCATAACACTCTGTTAATATTACCCGATCTTGCTCGTTTACGAACTCATTCATGTTTATTGTATAACTAGAAGAGTACCCGTCCTTCATACGGGGTTGTCGTATAAGTATAAAATACTATAGTATAGTATAAAATGCTAATTTCAGTTATACTCGTGCTTTGTGTTTGCAAATGGGAGAGGATACGTTTTAAGATAATATTTTAAGATAAACTATAATTTACGGTATGCTATTCTATAGCACATCTAACATAACCATAATGTTCTACCACTGCACTTAAACAATAGAAAAGGGTTGCGTTCTCATAGCTTTTGTTACTGTTTGGTTCCAATTAGCTGCTGTCGTAGGTTTAAGTAAAAGTTAAAGTAAGTTTAAATGGATAAAATGCTAGCTGTGTACTACTATACGCCGAATTGACAGATTTTTTTAAATGCCACAGGCGTAGACTATGAATTTGAAAGAAAATTGCTTAGTCTGCAAGTTTGCTGTGGTGGGGTTATTTTAAAGTCCCCCAATGCGGTAAAAACTGATGAACCCTTGCGGTAAAAACCTCAGAAAACAAAACCTTTGATTTGACAAAGCAGAGAGAGAAAATCTCAACAACAGGTGAAACTCTTTCATAGTGATTTGTAATTAAAGATCATGTTTTAAAGGACCTTTATTAAACACAAAAAATGTTTGTAGAACATAAATAGGCCTAATCCAAATATTTTCACACAAATACGATGTTTGCTCAAATTTGGAGTTGATTTCCGACTCTTCTGATGGGGGGAATTCTAAATCGAAGATCTGCCTCTGAAAAACATAAATGTATCGTTAAAAGAAATAGTTAAATAAATGCAATTCTTTGTTTATGATAATTTTAAAATTTTAATTTCTTTGTATTTGTAACTTGAGTAATCATGTGTAAAAATTAATTTGTGTAATTGTTTCGGATTAACAATATATTTGAGTGTTCGTTGTTCTTAACTATCCTTCAATTTGTAACATTAGTCACTTTCATACCAATAAGGTAATTTTTTTCTTTGTTGCATCTGTACCGTAAACAACAATTCATTCTAATACTTTTATTAAAAAATCAGATGAAAATCTTTTGAAGTCACCTTAATAACTACACAATATGCATGAAGTATGGAGGGCTGGAGGGTCAAGCATTTTGACCAAGATACGTTTCGGATTGAAAACCATTACGTTAAGGGATGCTCCTTGCTTTACTTAGGATGATGAGAATTATTGGTATCTAGAATGTTTAGTTGACCGCCAACCAACAACAATCTGCCATCAGCTTTGTTGACTTGCTAAACTTTTCTATCTTAATCTTTAATCAAAACTATTTGAAATATAAGTTAAGTAACTAAGGTACCCTTGACTACTTGAGCAAAATTTTAAACTCTCTCATCCTTATATAAAATCAACAACGGTTCAAGGATATTTCGATATACAGAAGAAGACATCCCATCTATATGGATCAGCTGTCGTCAATTTTTTACTAAAAATGAATGTAGTTGTGTGAGCCAGTCACAGATTGCGCTAGTGTCTAAAACTCTATTTTGTACCTTATCTAAATAAAGTAAATAAGTAAACCTTGTACATAAGGTTTATTAAACCTTGTACATAAGGTTTATTAAACCTTGTACATAAGGTTTACTAAACATTCTTTTTACACCGTAGTACTTACGCCGGTCAATATTGTCCTCTTGGACAGGTGGTTCAACTGGTGGGGGAGGGGGGCGTCTCCCCCAGATGACATACCACAGGCCAGTGACAGCGCCTATCACAGCAGCCCCCGTGACAAATGGATGGTCGCTGGAAAAAGATTATTGTGTTATTGTTAATATTACAACCAAATAGAAAGTCTCTCATTAATAAAAATTGAGTTTTACCAAACAATTATAGTATATTATTCTACCCATGAGATAATTGGCAAGATACAACATAAAATTCTAACCCCTAAGACCCCGTCAATCATATACAGTAATCTCTACTTTTTCATGATAGCCAAAATGACGTATAGAATAATGGAAAATTTTAATCATTTCAGCTAAATATAATTAATGGCCCTTGAACGAGCTATTAGTCCATGGTTATGATCAGGCTCATTTATGCGCAATCGGTGTGCTGTAATAAACCATTCTTTAGGATCTATTGGTCTTTTTCAACAATCACATTTCAAAGTCAGTCAATGTTTTCAAATACTGTAACTAGTAAAGAAAAAATGCTCAAGGATCAACTTTAAAAAGTAACACCTATTATGATTTCCATTTAGAAAAAGTAGTTTAAAGCAGTGTACATTTTCTCGATATTAAATTGGCATATATAACTGAGTTACCATTCTTAATTAGAAACATTTCTTTTAGATTAACTCATGAAATAAAACAAAACGTTCAAAGTTTGCTTACTGTTAATGCTACGTTTATCATTAGAGAAGATAATTCCAACATATAGACACATAATTCGAGATATCAGAATGTTTTCTATCATTCATTAGTGAAGTGATGAAGTAAACCTAGTTTGCCTTTACCAATTTCTAAACATTGTAAATTATATTAAAGCTACCACAACTAAATAATACTTTACAATCATTCAATTGCTGACTGTTATACTCACAAAATGAAGTTTAGAACTCTCTCCATTTAATATGATGTGAATCAAGTTTTCACTGGAGTCTTCTGAAGAATCAAGTCTTCTGCAAGATGAAAGTCTTCTGCAGTGCTTCTTTTCTCTTCTTCTCTTATTGGCTTCTCTTATGTTCTAATGCAGCTTTGTTGTGCACTAATATATTAACGATTCTGTCGTTTTATTTTAAAATTAGCAGTAGAGCTAAACAAAATTGGCAAGTTTAAGTACTTCAAACTTTAAGAAGTGAAGTAAATTCGTTGCTATGGATTTGATAAAATTAAACAAATAATGGATTGTATTAGCTCTATGCAGTGGTAAATAGTTGCCTTTTCATATTTTGACAAAGACAAATCTAACTTAATATACCCCCGCCGCAGCAAACCTGCAGACTAAGCGAATTTCCATTTGCCTCATTGTATTTACACTAAAATGCCTCCATAAAAATAGCACATGTATTTCCTATTTAAATAGAATTAGTTTAATAAGCAACTTAGGTTTGCTGCAACAGGGAGGGTAAAAAAGATTTTTTTTTTTTAATGATAATAGTTTAGTAAGAAATAAAAGTATTTTCCAAAATCAATCAAAATATGTTCATAAACAAGCAAACTACAACAGTTGACTTATTCTCCATAAGAATAACATGGGAATTTTAAAATTACAATTTTTTTGAATTTTCTCCGTAACAATTAGGCGCATAATAACACTTCAACATACTAAATTATTTGTTTTTTTAAGCTCTAAAAAATGGTTTAAAAAGAAATTGTGAAATTTTGTGTTTTAGGGTCAAAAATGCGAAAAACCTATTTTTGCCCCATAAAACCCCCCATAAACCCCCGTTCCCATAGTCCGATCATGCTGGTTCGCGAACTCATTCAAGTTTATCCCGCCTTACACCTTCAAACCAAATTTTATCAAAATCAGACAAAAATTACTCAAGTTATCGTGCGGATGGACACACACATATATATATATATATATATATATAGATATATAAAAATTTGAACGAATGGTGTTTTTGGCCTCTGGGGACATCAAAATGAAAAAGTAAATCGGTCCCGGGCTTAGGTCTTACCATGAGACCTACGGTAATAGCTACTTCCCTATAGGGAAATTCGCTAAAAATAAATTATTAAAAATCCGCAAAATATCACTAATCATTCATGAAATTAAAAAAACATAAATATGCCTGTAAACAACCCTACAGTTAGTTATCATTGTGTATCACAGTTTTTTGTTGCTGCTTAGTTCAAACATTGACTAAGGAAACTAAGGTGTTTTCATAAATGCAAAAAAAATAATAGTGCTGCACCCTGTTGGTAAATCTTATAACTTTTTAATGCTTTTGCATATCATAGAACCAACTTTTTTAGTTGAAACAGCTGACTAAATTCTTTAATTCCCTTTAAATATGAATACTCATAAGGTTAACATGGGAATTACAGAGCCACTGGGGGGGAGCCCAAAAGGATTTTTGAGATAAGAATATGCCTATATGTTAATCGGGAATGTGAGCTATCATCATGCCAAATTTCAGCCCAATCCGTCCAGTAGTTAATGCGTGATTGAACTTCAAACAAACAAACGAACATACAAACTTTCACATTTTATAATAGTAAGATATATAAAAGAGGATGTTGGTTTGTTTTAATGTTTGTATATTTAATTTGGAAGTGATAATCTCTGACACCGATGGCCACGAAACTTGGTACATACTTGTAGAATTTCATGGAATAGGTTTATACACCATCAATTTCGAGATCCGTCCAAACGATAGGGGAGTCTCCCAATGTTAACCTTATGAGTAGTTATATTTAAATGGAATTAAAGAATCTTAACAGCTGTTTCAACTAAACAATTTGATTCTGTGATGTTCAATAGCATTAAAAAGGTAATAGGTTTACCAACAGGGTGCAGCACTATTAATTGTTTTAATTTATGACATTTAATTTATGTTTCAATTTATGATTTGTACCTGTGGCGTATGTCGGCTACATTTTGTTGATTGTGGTCGTTCGATTTACGACGACCAAACCGTTCGTGTTGGAATTAAGAACTGTACTCTTTTATTTAACCAGAAAAGACAATTTACCGCAAATCACAGGCCCCAAGAGCCAGCTTTGATGATTATTAATACTAATTGAACCATTTTAACTACAGAAATACCATGATCTTTGAATGTATGCAATAATTATTTATCAGTCAACTGGACACAACGTGAACTAACATTTGAGCAAATATTGAAATTGAAAGGTAACGGTAGAAATAAAATAAGCAATTTTGACTACAGCATCTGGAAACAATAATTAATGAAATTTAGACTAATTAGATATCTAACACCATAACTATAACAACTAACTAACCATAACTATAACCATAACTATAAAATTGATACTGACAAAGTATTGTAATAATGTATTGTTGAAAATGCCTGCCTTTTGTTATTTGTAATAGTCATACTACAGATGATGTGAATGTTTATTTACTATCAGCTGTCTGTTTTGTTGTCCAATATTGTTCCTTGTCATGAAAACATTAATGAGAAATACATTTGATTATTTTATAGTTTAAATTCGTTTTTTTCGTCGTAGTTTTACTTAGATTATCCCTAAACACCTGTTGAAAATGCCTGCCTTTTCTATTTATTTGTAATAGTCATACAGATGATATGAATGTTGTTTTTACTATCAGCTGTCGGTTTTGTTGTCCAATATTGTTCCTTGTCGTGAAAACATTAATGAGAAATACATTTGATTATTTTATAGTTTAAATTCGTTTTTCGTCGTAGTTTTGCTTAGATTATCCCTAAACACCTCCACTTGGGAGAATAATTCAAGAGGTTATGGTCGCCAGCATCGTTTTATGTGCATAACAGTGTTGGGAAATCTAGTCTACTACGTACACAGTAAGAACAATTTATACTGACGTAATTTTCTGTCTCAAGAGTATTATTTCTTTGGTATATCTTTTCGATCGAGTTCGTCCAGCTCTACAAATGGAATACATGAAGGTATAAAACCATTGAAAGGAGCAGAAAATTGGCCGACGTGGAAAGATCGAGTGTTGGACGTTCTAGAGTTGTTCGACGCGGTTGATATCGTCAAGGGAAAGAGAGAAAAGCCTACCCTCTCTGAGCCTCCGACTAAAGCCGAAAAGGAAGAACTTGAGAAATTCAACAAATCCACGACTCAGGCAAAAATAGTTATTTCTCAGTGCGTTAGTGATGATCTACATCAACGTATTTCCGGAAGATTATCAGCTAAGGAAGCGTGGGACATTTTGATCGAGCAGTTCGATAACAAGGCAGAAGATCAGTTGTTTCGTCAGTGTTTGGATTTCTTCAGTATGGAATGGGATGATACCGAGGATGCCCCGACCGTGCTTTCAAGATTGAAGAATCAAAACCGCGAATTTCCAGCTGGCCTCAAAACGCGTAACATCCAAACAGTCGAAGATTTTCTTGAGCTCCTGTTTGTGTCAAAAGTGTTACACATTTTGCCGAAGCGTTTTGAATCGTTTAAGTCTAGCTACTTACTTATGAAGGCAAACGAGAGCAAGAAACTTGAAGATGTTTCATCTGCATTGATCCTTCATGAGCGTAATGTTGCTCCTACTTCAAAAGCTAGTGACATTCTTAGTGCCACAAACAGCGGTGGTCAGAAGAATAGGAAACCAAAAGGTGACACTTCGTGCAAATACTGTTCGGGGAAAGGTCATTGGATTCGCCAGTGATCTAAATGGAAAGCTGACGGCAAGCCTGCGTATCCAGCTGGAGCTAACGGCATTAGCACTAGCTCAAAAGCGAGTGACACTGATAAGAAGAGAACAAAGGGCTCGCAAGTTAACGTGACCAACAACCGTAGTGCGCTGATTTCCATCAGCAGTGACATGAATATCGTGACCACGAACGACCAGTGGTGGATCGACAATGCCGATACGCGGCACATTACGTCAAATCTGAGTTGGTTCACAGAGTACAAACCTTTTCCTGCAAACTCGAACGCAACAGTAAAGGCGGCGGGAAAGGAAGTTATAAAAGCTCTTGGCAGTGGATTCGTTGAAGTAGCGAACTATGAAAATGGAAAACTGGAAACGTTCACACTCAACGATGTATGGTATGTTCCTGACGTTTCTCGGAACTTAGTGTCCATTCTCGCAGCTCATGATCGAAACCCTAATAGCAGGTTTGAATCGACTAATACCGAGTGTCGGTTCGCTATTAACGAAAAAACTGTATTCAAAGGTACTCAAAACTGTGGTGGAACTTTGTATCGTGCCTCATTTCACACAGTTCAACCATCTGAGGTTTGCGCTAATGCAGCAGAAGACAATCGAATTCTGCAGTTATATCATGAGCGCTGGGGTCACATGGATAAACGTTACGTCCGATCGAAGCTCGAATCCGAAATGGGTATCAAAGTGCCAGCCAACTACGAGATCTGCGAACCGTGTCAGTTCGGAAAGGCACACCGTCTACCATTTGGAACACGAGAACGCCCCTCAGCCCCCGGTGAGTTGTTATCCGGTGATGTTTGCGGCCCGTTTGACCCATCCTTCGGAGGTCGCCGATACTTGATCGTCATAAAAGACCACTTTTCAAGGTACCGATACTGTTTTGTCGCAAGGGAAAAATCTGCTGTGAAGGAAGCGTTGCGTGAAGTGTTGGCTAAAGCACGCACAATTGGTCATCACGTCAAAGAGTTTCTCAGCGACAACGGTGGTGAGTTTGACAACGCTGAAGTTCGTCAAATTCTCAGAGAATATGGTGTTAACCAATGTCTGACAGCGCCGTATACACCCGAGCAAAATGGTGCTGTGGAGAGAGAGAACAGAACAATCGTCGAAATGGCCCGGACCTTCAAGTACGCCAATCCAAATGTAACATTTCCTGCAGCGATCTGGGCGGAACTTGTCATCACTGCTGGCTACGTTTTGAACCGAGTGGGAAAGTCAGCAGTTGCCAACAAATCACCCTTTGAGCTCTGGTTTGGTCAAAAGCCGAGGATCAAACATCTGCGAGTGGTCAGCTCAAAGTGCTACGTCCATGTTCCTGTTCAGAGGAGGCGAAAAATGGACAAGAAAGCTGTGGTTGGTTACCTGGTTGGATACGATGGCGATGAACGATATCGAATCTACGTCCCAGAGAGAAGAGATATCGTAGTTTCTCGTGACGTCGTTTTTCAAGAAATTGTTGGAGACTGTGA